CTTTTACATTAATAACCAGAGAAGTAATAATTAGTGATGGGAACAAGTAATTCATTCAAATTACATGCCATTCATGGAATCTATCTAATCATGAAGTTAAATTTGACTATTTTGTTATTAATTAATAATTGACAATATGGCGAATATATGATATCATAATTAACAAAGCGCAAGATGGCGAGGTGGTATCTTAATATGCTCCATTAACAAAACTAATAGGTCTCAGCATAACAACACTAATGACTCTATGACTATGACAACTTTTTTTTTATTACCTTTTTGCTCTGTTTACTCACAGTTAATTGGGTAGATTAGTATGCCAATGCCCTTTTAATTTGTTCATATATTCTTGATGTAATTAAAGACAGCCTATGCGTTTAACTTTTCGTGATTAGAGGCCAAAAAAGACTATAAATTCCCAAGACAACTTGGTTGAATAAAGCACTTAATTAACACGGATACATATTATATAAATATATATATATATGTTTATTCAAGGATTTGAAATAAAGTTTGAATCTTCTTCCATTTGTGGATACTTCGAATATATATTCAAGTGCGAGTAGAATAAGATGATGTGAGCGATATGAATCTCGTTTTGGATCTGTTTATGGTTGCTAACGCACGTAAGAAGAAAAACAAATGATGTTTCCTAAAATGAACAAATTAAAATGATGATAAGAAGACTGATTTCAAAAAATAAATAAAAGAAATAATGGTTATTAGAAGACAAATATGGAACACTACTGCACAACGTGATAGATTGGGATTGTTATATATATATATATATATATATATATATATATATTGTCTCCCAGCTAGTCTCGCTGGAAATTTGGTCTTATCTAATATGGATAGGAACAAGCATGAATCTTTATTCTACTTGATCATATAACAATGTTTTGTTTATGTATTATATATCATATATATTTCATATAACATAATTGAGTTATATAATTGATCTCAATGATATTTTATGATAGTGCCACATAATAAGTGATAATGAAAATAACACAGCACTTTGTTTTTATAGACAATACAAGTATAAATAAATAGGTTCTTTTTGCGAACTTACTAATCCCTAACTGAAATTATTATTACAATGTATTTAACAAGTAGTAATTCTGGTTTTTTTAAAAAATAGTAGCAATTAGTTCATTAAAATTTGATTTTTTTTTTGGGGGGGGGGGGGACGATGAAAAGCTGATATTCATGTCTTAGCATTTATTTGTTCGAATGCTATCAATCAATTTTGGGTAGATTGGTTTCATGGAAATCATCATTCAAATACTTTTTATAACATATAAATAACCGAATTATGCAGACAAAAGTTGATTAAAATTAGTTGCAGACAATATGTAGTGAGACTGAATACTCCTCTGATTCTAAATATAAAATTTATTTTATAATGCAATTTGTACTACATAATTAGTCTTATATTTAAGACCTGAGGAATAATAATTAATAAGGATAAGCATAGAAAATATTTAAAATTTTAAACAGATTATTAGTGATCTTTTATATAAATACGAACATGTCATTTCTCAAAAAATATTCTTATAGAAGGAGCAATTTTCTTTTTGACCATCTCATCATCTAAAACGAAGAATTCATACACTCATAATATTATCCCGGTCCTATTTATGAGATTTTATTTATAAATTATAAATAAAATCTTATAATTAGAATAAAAAATGGTATTTATGAGGGGTCGAATTTGAAATTTCTTAACTCAAGGAGGTGCTTCGCGTCCAAAAAAAAGTTTGGCTCAATAATTTAATAAAAATTTTCTAAATGTTCACACGAAGAGTCCTAATAACTTGAAAGCCTACCACAACTTATCTTGCACGCCAAACCAAACGCCTCTTCGTGGGTCCCAAGCCCTTGCTCACGGGTCTCCTTCTCTTCACTCAATTTTCCACATTATTAACAACGATAGTTTTTTTGGCAACAATATAGTCTGCTATATTATCAATTAATTTATATTTGAGAATTATAGGATCTCAAGTAAATGATAATTTTCTCAGCATAATTTTTATATTAAAAAATTTAAACACGAGATATCGGTAAAAAAAAAATTTAGCTTTTTTTTCAGTTGATATGCTTGATTTTTTTTTTGTTTTTTTAAATTGTCCATGTTTGCAATACCCAAGCAACATGCCTAAGCTTGAAAATGAAGCTTGCAATGGTCCCACACTATAAATTCCTTTCACTTAGTTCCTTGTTCGTTTTGCAATTTGCATAGAGGGAACCCTATAGGTCACGCCATTATATATACTAGTAATAATCATATTTAATATTTTGGTTTTTTTAATGATTGTTGACAAAATATTAGCATTTTTTATGGTCCGTTTATCGGTAAAGCAATATATTTAAGTTGTGGTCCAGGCATATAACAATTAAATAAAATATTGTGAGCACGGTAAAAAAGTATATTGAGTTTGTTAATGATGTTGTTGGGTCAGAAGAGTTTCACCACCTGGGTTGTCAATATACCCCAAGAGAATAAATAAAGACAAAGGAGAGAGAATAATGGAGAATTTTGGCCCAATAATAAAGAGAGAATCACAAAATGACAAGCAAAACAATGATGGTTGTGATTTTGTCATTTTAATGAATTAAACTTTATTTCAGATTTTCTTATATTTGACAATTTGACTTTGTTAAAATCAAGCATTGTTGAGCTCTCTCTTGCAAAGGTGTTTTTTTTTTTCCATATCCCATATAATTTTATTTTATTTTTTTGTCCGGACTTTGCAACTTAAACAACACCAAACACTTTAAGGCTTTTCTTAAAAGTGAGATTTTGAGTTCGAACTCTTTGTGGAGGATAATGAGTTATTAATATTTTTATCTTTTTTGTGTGGATGGTTATCTAATATATTTCAATAATGTGAATAACTATATATTTCCCTCTTTTTTTTGTCAGGATTACAAAAATATTTATTTATGATTTTCTTAAAAAGTTAATGACTTTTTCATTCTATTCCATTGTCTGGTATGATCTTTATTTTAGGAAAAGTGCGATAAAATCTAAAATGGATCATGGAAAGTAAGGGCATCCACATCTTGAAGTAGAGCACCACTTGAAAAGTTGCTAAATTAATGTCCAAGTCTAATTATGAGTGTCTATCCTATTTCTATGTCCTTATTCTTTCAGAGGTTTTTTCTTCGAAATTTTAGTCATAAAAAAAACAAAAGGATTACATCAACACCTTCAACGGATGGAATTCAAATGGACGAATGTGGGAAGGGCTACTTCAAAGTCTGTTCCTTGATATACATTTTGTGGGGTCCTAGACTAATTTTTTGGTGTCTGGTTTCATGATTGATGTTTTGACTGCAACAATTTACAGGTCGAGTTTAAAGTTTCATTTTACTTTAAACTAATTTTTGAGTTTGCCAGTTTGGCATTCTCATACAAAAAAGAGCTCATGAATTGTCTGATGATGCAATAGAGGACAAACCAATAAAAGGTAAAGGCTAGACTTTTTCAATGGATCAAAGTGTTTCTGCAAAGTGGGTGATATATTGTTAAGATTGAGTCCGGAATGAACTAAAATTCATACCATTCTGGGAATCTCAGAATGATTTGAATCCAATTGTTGAAGTTGGAACAGAAGAGAAAGCACACTGAGAAGTTGAGATCCAGAGTGTGCCTTCTGCATCTTGAGTTTTCAGCCATGGAATTTCCTGGTACCACAACTCCATTAGACCAGACCAAATAAGTCTCCATCAACCCTTTTCCTCTCTTAAGTTTGTCTGTGTTAGGCACAATTCTTCAGAAATTCCACCTTTTAATCTGTGGTCCATATATATATGTGTGTGTGTGTGTGTATGCGCGCACGCACGCACACACACCCAAAGACACACAAACCAAACCCATGATTGTACTGCAATAATGGGTTTGGCAGATTCCCCAAACCCACAGGCTTCCTTGTACTGCAATACCCACTACAAATGGTGCTGCACTTTGTGTTCTGAAGTTTGGCATAATCATCTGAAATGGGACCTGATGACTCTGGGCTGAGCATAATCTATTCGCTGTACTTGTTGTTTCTTTTTATAACTTTTTCCTTTTGCAACTTCAAAGAAAATTACAGTGTTATGTAAAAAGATCTTAAACATTAGAACTGTCCTGAACAACAAAAAGTTAGTTCTGGAGAGTGGGGACTCGATTGTTCCCCTTTATATGGTTCTTTCTGGTTGATTATGAGCAGCCTCGCAAGTTGCTGGCTCACATTGGCATAGGCTCATCTTTCATGGATTCTCAGCCTGGTGTGTAGGTCAGCTAATGTGTGTTCAGCACAATCACTGAGGAGTTATGGACCAAAGAATCTAATTTTCTGAGACCATTTTGAAGCTCAGGAAAACAGAAAGCGAAGGTTCTGACTATGAAATTTCAATTAGAAGCCACAATCAGCAACCTCAAAATATTCTTCAAAATTCCACCATTCGGTAAATCCATGGCCAAATTGCAGGCTCTGTGTAGTGCTTTCAGATCAATTATGATCTCAGGTCATTATCTTATCCAGTCATTGGCATATATACAATCCCTTTTCCCTCAGAATATTTTGGACCTATGCCAAGTGGTTTCCATCAAATTTCTCTAGTGATGATTCATTATTGCTAAAAATTCTTCTTCTCAACATCTGAGTTACATTGGTATACTTAAAAGGAAAACTTTCCTATTCATTCTTTAGGCCCAGGTTGCTCCTGAGGATCAATAAAAAGTTAAAACCGTAAAAATAGGTTTTAACGCACTAACTCTAATGTTTACATTGGTTTCATAGACTTATCAGCCTAACATCATGTGAAGTTTGAATCTTTCTAAGATGGAAGGACAATCCGTTGTTTGAAATTACATCTTTCTCAATCATAATTGCCTCACTGGACTTCCATTTATCTGGGTGAATCAGTCTGTTCATGAGTCTGATTTTGCATAAGTGAATATAACATCACATCTTGATTCAAAATCTCACATTCAGATTCTGATTGTGTTTTACACACACATTTTTCTCAATCTAGATTCATCCTTGCAACATGATAATTACAAGCACTGTAAGGACAAAATTCAGCAGTACAAATGTACCCTCAAACAGACATAAGTCATTCAATCCACCCTTTTCAGAGTACATCTATAAGGAGAGAAGTCAAGTACAACTCCATGATCGTTCGCTATCAGATTCTGCAATAATACCATAACAAGTGAACGAGTTTCATATCTAAACACAAATCTGGTGCAGAATTTGACAACAATCATTGGGCGCTTGAAGTTTTGGGCTTTGGCAGTAGTTAACGAGGCCAGGAGAAGCATAAACCCTACAAACACTGAGAAACATTATGCAGCAACGGTGCAGAAAATTGTTCGAGTTGATGAGCCTCCATCTAATAAATATACAAGGTAAAGTGAAAGAGGAAAAGCGAGTGTTTCACATAAGGGAGCAAGCGTTGGGGTTCTCATCACTGAACATCTGAGGAGCATAAGCATAGTCAGTGAAGTATTTGGAAGGCCAGTATTCCATCTTCTTGATGATATCAGTTTGATCATTGTCGTCTTCTTCTTTCTTCTTATCTTCTTCTTCTTCTTTCTTCTCTTCCTCCTTCTTGTCTTCCTCCTTCTTTTCCTCTTCCTTCACTATGGAAGCTTGCTTTCCCGTTCTCTTGTACACATATTCAACTAGCTTGCTAGGTTCAATCACCCCTTTCACCACCACTCTATCATTTCCCAAGTCTGTTTCCACTGATTCTACTCCTGCATGCACAATTCTTTCCTCTACTCATTCAAACCATAATATAGGTTTCATAATTTGGTTAACCAATTTTAGGGGCGATTCAATTTTTAGTAGCCGTTGTGACTTGGATTTATAAAACATTAAAACGCCATACTTTTGTGTGCTAGTCTTATTTATTCTACTACCAAGTAGCACTCGTGTTAATCAAATTTTCTATATAGTGTTGAGTCAAAAAACTAGCCCTAAGTTATAATAGTTCTGTCAGCATTCAAACCTTCAGCCTTTTTTCACCATTTCAATTATCTACTCCTTATTCAAATAAATAAGCCAAAGATAATAATAAAAAAAAAGGTTAATTTCTGTTTTGTCAATTTCCCTAAAGAGTATTGCCGGTGGACATGGGACTTGAAATATATATTTGATTGAGTTTAGATGGTGTCAGGAAAAATTTCCAAGGTTGAACCACTCCATTTCTCTTTTACAAAATTATTTAGACTAATATAGAAAATTTAATTTTCTAACGAATAAATTATAATTTGATATAGATTTACATAATAAAAATTTTCAAACATAATATATATATTTTTAAAAATCAGACCGGGCCTTGGGCCAAGCCCATCATTTTTTCGGAATCGTTCATTCTTTTCACCTTGTTTTTTGGGCCACCATTTTGGTTTGTTAACGACCTTATCTTGCAAACATTGAATAAAGGGCTTATAGCTATGAAAGGTAAAAGACAATGAGCATTAACATAATCCTCGAGATCCTGTTAAAGTCAATACGACCATAATAATGTTCTTTTTGTTTTGTTTTTGGTTGGTGAAAAGAAGGGATTTAAAACAACCTCAAAAAGCTCCTTTGCTTTGAAAAGAACGGGATTAGCGCCATAACTTAAGTGCATGAAAAATTAAAAAGACTAGTTCATTTATAGCTCGTGACATGCAACTCCCACTAAAATCAAATTTAAAAACAACGCGTTTCTATACATCAAAAGAACCAACATATTAAATTTGTTTTCTCATCACCATAAACTACTCCGTCTATTCCAAAATATTTGCTCCTAAAAAACCTTAGTTTTGCATTAAAATTATTATTGATTTAAAATGTTCACGGAACGTCACACCCACACGCATATTGAGAATGACTTCATTTTAATTAAGATTCTTGTTTAAGGAACAAAAAAAAATCTAAAAATAAAATAAATGATATTAACCCTTTCAATAAAATAGGTTGAAAATGGTTCATGAATAGGATGAGAAAAATACAGAGAGGACATACCTTGAATCTTGCGGATTCGCTTCTGAATAACTTGAGCACATGCTTCACAATGCATGGCAACTTTGAGCAGTACGGTTACCACTGCTGGTGGGGCCTGTCCATTTTCATTCATTCATTCATTCAGTTCCTCATCTATCTCAATTCTCAAATATCAAACACTACACACACAAGAAGAGGACCCATTTCTGTGATTTGTCAATTCACAGAGAAATGGGGGCCGTGCCATGCCACTGTGCTCTCTCATTGTATAAGGGCACAAAATGCCAACAACTGTGCCAGAGGGAGCAGTCTCCAAGGTAAGACCCCTCATGCCCTCATCTCATTTCAATTCTGAGTCACTCTATAATAATGCACTGACCCCACCTCCTCCTTTGTTTTCACTTTTTACCTCACCTTCCTCCTCCCCACTTTGGCCTTTTCTCTTTTACTGGTAATCCTCTCTGGACCATATACATCAGAAGATGATGTATTGCTAATGCCTAGCTAATGGCTAATACATATGCGTGATTTGAATATTATTAAGTTAATCTCCATGAAAGATGAGTCATAAAGTACAAGGGAGGATTATTGTGGGCTCAAAGCCCTTGCCTTTGAGCTATTGTCATTTTCATTTGGGGAGGGAGGGCACCATTTTGCTGACTTTGTTTCGTTCCTTTCATGTCAGCTACACAACATAATGCCCTTCAAGACAATATAAACTAAATCTGGGAATTCACTGTTCATCCCATGTGGTTCAATCCTCTCTCTAACGTCAAGACTCAATTTTTTTAAAAAAAATTTTTGCATACAAAGTGTTTGAATCTTTGCCTGAACGAGGGAATTAAAGAAATTTAAGAAAGCCAGGTTATTACATTACCTCCTCTTTTTTCTCCTCAGGCTGCTGCGCTTCTTTGTCTTGTCCTTCTTCTTTCTTCTTCTGCTCTGGAGGTTTTGGCAATGGCGAAATGAGCGCCACTTTCCTCCCACTTTTCTTCTGCAGTCTCTCACATACCTTCATGGGATCTGCTGCTTTCCCCTTCACCACCACCTTGCTTCCCTTGCTATCTGTACTCACCTCCTCCACTCCTGTCGTCCCATAATCACCATTAATTAACATCTTAATCACTTTTGTTATAATCAATCCTGCTTTCTGTATAGTGACAGACACAGAGAAGCAAACTACCGCCAGCTGACAACAAAACCACTAAGAAACTAGAAAGTAGCAGTCTATAGCTAAAAGGATCCGTGATCTGATCTATCTAATCAATCGATGATTATCCTTAGAATACACAGTCACACTGTCACACAAAGTAACAAACACACAGACACATGTTAAAACAGAGAAATGACCTTCAAATCCTTTCAAAGCTCTTGCAACTTTCCTGGCACAGGCCTCGCAATGCATGTCGACCTTGAGTACTATCTCTGTGCTTGCTTCTTCTTCCTCCTCCTTCTTCTCACCCTTCACTTCTTTCTTTTCCTCTTTGCCTCCTTCCTTCTTTCCTTCCTCCATCTTCTCCTTTAGCAGCAGCAACAAAAACATTTAGTTTTTAGGGATGAACTCGGAGAAGTTCATTTTTCTTGCACGAGTTACTAGGAAAAAGAAAGAAACAGAAACCAAGTAATCCCACGCCATATAGGCAGAAAGAAAAATTAAGGAGAAAAGAAAAGGCATACATGGAATTGGAAGCAGACGTGAGAGAATATCATAGTATTATGAGTAATCCTAGTTCTGAAAACAACAATGAACAGGGGAAAACAAAAGAGACCCAAGAGCAGAGACAGAGATTAATACAGTAGAAATATGATGTTTTTATATTATGGGTCCATAAGAACAGAGGAGTCATTCATACTTCGCCCATAAGTGGGATAGTGGACAAGAGCAGAGATTCAGAAGAGAGACTGGCAAATTCAGAAGGTAATGTTTTTATGAAGGGGAGCTAGCAATTGATTCACCCCTTTGTTTCCTTCTTCCCCCCTCTCTCTCTTTGGGGTCACTCTGTCTACCTGGGGAGCAGCTTGTGGAGAGGTAGAACATTTAAGTAACGTGGGGATTCTGCAAATCTGACGTGGACGATTTAATGCAAAATATTATTCACATCCATACTGTACTCGCTCCGTTCCTTATTATAAGAGACAAATAACCAAATTACGTTGATAAAAAAAATAATTAAAATTAGTTGAAAACAATTAATGTGTAAAAAGTATAATATTTTTTTCCAACAATACCCCCATTAATAAGGAGAGAGAGTATGAGAGAAAACAATTAAATTATTAAAAGAAAGAGAAGTGGGAGGGAGGGAGAATATGAGTTGGAGACAAAATAAATAGAGGTAAAATAGGAAATCAATACAAAAAAATAGAGACAACTTTTAAGTGTCTCTTATATATGGAAACATGCCATAAGCATCAAATGTCTTTTATAATAAGGAACGGAAGGTGTACTTCTTAGCTCGGGCTCTACGTTTCCCTTTTTTTTTTAAAAATTATTATTATTATTCATAGAAATGCATCATTGTATTTGTATTTTATGTTACTTATTTAATTTTATAAAATTTCTTCTCATTTTTTTATGTTAAATATTGATCGTCTTAAACAATAATTTTTTTATATTAATGACTTATTATTTTGAAAAACTAAATTGAATATGATAATATTTGTGAATACTTTATTAATGTTTAAAATTCTAATGTCAACATTTTTATTAACAAAACTGACTATTTGAAAATTTAAAAAAATTAAATAATATATGTAGTTGGGAGTTGGCTAGTGCCGGTGGGACTTGACAAAACCCGGACAAAAAAGGTTAGATGAGCCAATAGGCTGAACTTGAAGCGTGACAAAAGACTGTTTCTTGTTTATTTTCCCTATTAATGTTTGAATTTACATTTATAAGGTGCCCTTAAGGTTGTCCTTATGGTCAAGGGTTGAGGCGCCACCCTACAATATTGTTTGCATTATAATCTCTACATATAGATTTGTGCCATAAGCATAGCCATAGCAGTAAATTCAGATGTCTCCATCATATAAATTGAATCTGTACTGTACAAATCCATCTTGCTGTTTCATGGAATAATTTGCATACCCATGAAAATGAAATGATAATAACTGAATAAGAATGAATTTTGATGAAAAGAAACATTCATCAATATATCATATGATTCAGGGTCTTGTGGTATAATAATACTCCTCCGGTCTTACATATAAGATTTATTTTATGCTACAATTTAGGATTTAGGATCGGAGCAATATTGTTTATGAAAAAAAATTATATATCAATATATATAGTAAAACTATACTATTTACCAGGATTAACAATGCCACGACTTATCTTTCAAATTTTATCCAATGCATTAACTGAATTATATTTTTCTTGTAAGAAAACAAGAAAGATCCGTGGTAGCTAATTTCATTCTATGGTCCCTCTTTGTCATTTTTCCTAATTTAAAAGATAAATGTAATTTCCAGAAAAACTTTTCTTACTGTATTCTTTTCTGGTTTTTGGGACGTTCATTAACACAGAAAAGTTTGGGGCCCATAAAAATAAAACCAATATTGGGCCTCATACAACAACGCCCCCATGCTTCTATGACTGGACTGGATGATGGGCGTTTAAACTTTGCAGTGAGGCCGGGTAACAGCTATTATCATTCAAAACAACAACAGATAAAGTTAGATCTAACAAAAAGAAGCAGTATTTCACTAGGTGATTAATACGGTACCTTAAACAGGATAGCGTGCAATAGCAGAATACCAGTGCCTACCATAAAGGCACACTTTTTTTTTTTAAAAAAAATTAAAAAAAGGAGTAAATAACGTTTTTTGGTAAGTTATGCAGTTGAGAAAACTATGTTTTTGTTTTCAACAAAAAGGTCAAAACAAAACATAAGAAGGATTAGGTCGTGATAAGTCTGACTTTAAGGTTTAATCCTGTTTACCGAATAACTTGTGTCAAACATATATTCCAGTTTCCTCTTAGTTTACTTGGATATACTTTTCGTCCTTGTTAAGGAGACCCTCAAGCACCTGCAATATTTCTTATCAACTTTGTTTTGGTATATTGTAGGCCTTGCAATGAGGACTAACTCTTGATTCTTTCCCTTGGATATCATATATATGTATATATATATCAGATTGAGAAGTAGAATGTTTGCTGTGGATCAAGTCAAGAAAATTGATCATGGAAGCGGTGCCTTGGGAGCTTCTTCAGAAATGTCTTGTTGTCTCAATTTGTTTCTCTTTGTTCTGGAAGATCATTAAATATATGTGTGGCCTTCTGAAAGTAGAGAAGGAACCTGTCACAGTATTGGTCACTGGTGCTGCAGGCATGCTGCTCAACTTTAGTTTCTTTGAATTTCTTTTATTTCTCCATTACTAGCTACGTTAATATGGATGCTTACTGATAAGTTTTCACATTTAAAATTTCTGGCATCAGACACAGAAAGTTTTAGGCAGATTTATGATCTCATTTTCTAAGGTTCATAAAATGGATTTGTTACACTTGTGGGTTTCGCTTTTGATTCAACAACAGGACAAATTGGCTATGCCCTTGCACCTATGATTGCAAGGGGTTTGATGCTTGGTCCAGATCAACCTGTAATTCTTCACCTGCTCGATATTGAACAGGCAGCTGAGGCCTTGAAAGGGGTGAAGATGGAACTGGTTGATGCTGCTTTTCCACTTCTTAAAGGCATGCATATTAACTTCAGTCCTCATATAAACATAGTTATCATATTGTTGTTCTTCTTGTTGACATAACAAAATTTGATCTGTGCATATGTGTATATATAAATACAACAGGTGTTGTTGCTACTACCGATGTTGCTGAAGCTTGCGAGGACGTAAACGTTGCTGTTATGCTGGGTGGATTTCCTAGGAAAGAAGGAATGGAAAGGAAAGATGTTATGTCCAAAAATGTATCAATTTACAAGGCTCAAGCTTCAGCTTTGGAACAGCATGCTGCCGAAGACTGTAAGGTAAGCTATTACTTTGACACCCCCTAGTTTTGAAATGTGTCAGATCCAGTGCTTGTAACTTCTAGTGTACTTTTTAAGTTTAAATGATCATTCTGCTTATTCTTAAGGTTGAGTTCTTTTCAATTCTTGTTAAATACAGGTGCTAGTGGTTGCCAATCCAGCAAACACCAATGCTCTCATATTGAAGGAACATGCTCCTTCAATACCAGAAAAAAATGTTACTTGTCTTACCAGACTGGATCATAATAGAGCATTAGGGCAAATCTCAGAGAGGCTAAATGTTCACGTTGGTGATGTGAAGAATGTGATCATATGGGGCAATCACTCTTCAACCCAATATCCAGATGTCAACCATGCTACTGTCACCACCAGCAGTGGAAACAAGTCTGTTCGGAAAGCAGTGGATGATGATAACTGGTATATATCCAAGTTTCAAGCCCTTTACTTTTCTGTATAATAGTATGTTTTGATGAATCACCTTCTCACATATATCTTGTTGCCAAAATAGATAATACTTCTCTGGATTGCCAAAATAGCCCAATTACACTATAAAATAGGTCTTATATTTAGGACCGGAGTAGTATATAATTTTAGATAGTTGAATCTGTCATGATGCAATCAATTGTTAATGGGGGAAATGAGTTGTTGAGCATTCATTTTGATATCTACCTTTAATTCCTCTTCCAATTAGTGGATGTGGGACTTCATATATTCTAATACCAAACATGGATGATAAGTGTGCTTCATTTGTGCTAACTAGGCTGAACAATGAGTTCATCAACATCGTTCAGCAGCGTGGTGCAGCCATTATCAAAGCCAGGAAGCAGTCAAGTGCATTATCTGCAGCAAGTGCTGCTTGTGATCATATACGAGATTGGGTACTTGGAACTCCCAAGGTAGCTTCTCTTAACCATTTTTTAAAATCTTCTGCATTTTGTCGCTTCTTTGTTTATTAATTTTTGCATTTGTTCTTTTCTTTTTTTAAAAACTTTAGGGAACATGGGTGTCAATGGGAGTGTACTCTGATGGGTCTTATGGCATCCAACCTGGCCTTATTTACTCATTCCCTGTTACCTGTGAAAATGGACAGTGGAAGATAGTTCAAGGTGCCTTTTGTTTCTTCATACTCTGCATTCATATGATTCTAATACTCTTTCTTTATAAAAGCAGTATGTTGACAAACTACAAATCTTGTTTATGTCCATTAATAGGAAAAAATAATTTAAGAGCTGATGAAAGATTTTATTTATTATTGCAATATTTGGATTTTTTTTAATAAAATCTATATATACAAATTGCACATAACCCAAAAAGAGTTATATTATTCATAATTTATGAGTATTTTAATTCTTAAAAAATTTTATATTAATGTTCTCATTTCTCATTTTGGTTCACAAGTGATTTAATTTTACCTGTTGAAAGATTTGTTTATTGCATTTGTAGGCCTCAAGATTGATGAGTTCTCAAGAAAAAAAATGGACAGAACAGCTCAAGAATTGGTTGAGGAGAAAGAACTAGCAAAATCATGTTTGAATTAAGAGTAATTTCATTTTAAAAAGTTGATGCGAAAAATAATATGTAAATATTTAAAAAGTGTTATTATTTTCCCATCCTTATTGTTGTAAAAAATTTAAGTTATTATTTGGAGCAAGGTTTCTGAATTTGGAAAAACTTTATGTAAATTCATTTTATGTCCCTACTGGGATATTTAAGGTCTGAAAATAATGTCTTTGGTTTGCATTTTCCTTCTGACTGTTTTTACCACTTGCAAATCAATAGTTTCAGTCTTTCATCTGTTCTGAAAAAAACACATAACAAAAAATAATATGGAAATGTTCGAGGAAAATTGTCCGAAGTCGAAATGCTCACACGGGGTGCCACAGGAACTTTGTATCAAATCAGTGTGTGTGTGTGTTTTTTTAAGGGCTTTTTTAGTGGAAAAAAAGTCAAAAACTCTCCCTAGTTCCAGGGGCACCCGATAATAAAGTATTGTTTAGGAACAATAATGTCACTAATTGCAAATATTAGAAATTAAATTGAATAGTAAATTACTTAAATGTCTGGTCGCGTTCGGCAACCTTCGCTTCAGGCATTGAAGAAATTTTCCTGAGCCCTAGATTCGCCTTCTTCCTCCCTTGATTCTCCTCAATTGGCGCCTCCTTCTGCCCGGAGCCGACTGACTAGCGCTGAGACATTGCTGTGTGTGTAATATCATGAGTTTGTTATATTCCCAAGCTCTTCTGTTTTTTAAAAGTTCGGAAATTTATGATTTTTACTTCGTTCCATGTAGCGTAATTAGGTTATCAATCGGTAGGTGAAAAATGTTGAAACTTTGCGAAGTGTCTCGTGTGAAGACTGCTATGCCCATTTTCCAACTCTCGCTCCATCCAACCTGCCTTGTGTTTTTATCTATGCAATTTTATTGGAAAAATTGATGATATTTGGCATGTCGAGAACCAATTCAGCTCAAAAGTTTAAAATTGAACTTCTTTGTTTATCGTAAGTTTGTTAATTCAAGTACGTCGTGGCAGGATAAAAGTGCTGCTTGTTGTCTGTGTTCTCGATTTCATTTAACCACTAGATTTAATTTGGGGCCCTGGGTTGGTTAATATCCAAAATGTATGTACCTTATGACGGGAATATTAATTGCAGCAGAGGGACACTTGTATTGAATTCTAGCTGTGGGCTGTTGTTTTCTATGATGCTTAGTTTGTAGCAGTTTATGTTCAGTTTGCCCACAAATCAGTTTCTTTTGTTTAATCTGAAAGGGAAAAAAGGACCAAAAATCATTATATGAAAGGCATGCCTGATCATATATTGATACTATTAACTTCGGCTCCTGGTAGCGGATTGAGTAACTGGATAAGAAGAATCACTAAATTGAAATAGTTGCCTCTGCTTCCCCTGGCCCTGGTCATAAAACTAGAACTGGATTTAAAGGAAGTTTTGAGTAGATGTGCTTCTTGGGACACTGGTTTTTGAAGGATTACCAATGTCATGGAGGGAAAAATAGTACGCTTGCATCTGATTTTATGAGACCCCATAATGGAGAATGGACATGATTTCAGGTTAAGAGTGTCTTAATGTGAATTGATAGAAATACACAATTAGCAAGTTCTAAAAATAAGTTCTCTGGCCATCAGTGGTCAGACAGTTAATGAGGATAAGGGGGCAATTTACAAGCATGAACTCTCATTAGGATACTGGGAGCGGGACAGTTAAGATATGATTGTGCTTATCTGTTCTTTAAGCAGCAATAAGAAGGGCTGAGGCAATTACACTGTGATATATATTCATTGTATTCATCACTTCATTGCTTTCCCATTACTTGGTTTTTGGGCAAGGTTTAAACTTCTTTAAGAATAAAAGCTTCAACCCATCTGTCACCCAGCTTTCTAGCCTTTTTTTTTTTTAAGTATAAAAATTGATCGTCTGCAACAAATAATTATGTCATTCCATTTACCAGCTGGCCATGTGATATCATATTGCTATTATGTCAACTATCTAACTTATTTTTTCTTGACAGTTAGTGCTGCCTGAGCATCAGTTGTAACATGGCCTCCTCTTTCCGAGCATTCTTGAACAGTCCAGTTGGTCCAAAAACCACCCATTTTTGGGGACCTATTGCCAACTGGGGATTTGTTGCTGCAGTACGTTTTGCTGCATTGATCATTTATTTATTTGCTTTTAGATTGGAAGCCATTATCTTATTAATACCAGAGTACCGGTTCTCATTTCATGCCTTCATGACCATGTTTGTAATGCTGTTTTGTCACAGGGGCTGGCAGACATGAACAAACCTCCAGAAATGATCTCTGGCAATATGACAGCAGGTTGAAACTATCCATATTCCTAAGAATTTGGAAATGGGCACTGCTCCAGCGGAGTTCCTTAGGTTTTTGCTATCGAGTTTTCCAATAAAATTGTAATTTTAACATGTGAAGGACATTTGAAGAGCTAATTATGTGGTGTGTTGTTACAAATATCCACTTATTATATTTTTCCAAGGAAATATGATAGCAAATACCTAAAAAATGAACCTAGGCTTGGTCTTTCCATGTTGGCTGAATTTCCCTCTTGCATGTGTTCGTGCTGCAGCAATGTGTGTATATTCGGCTCTGTTCATGAGATTTGCATGGATGGTTCAACCACGCAACTATCTGCTGCTCGCTTGTCATGCTTCAAATGAGACTGTGCAACTTTACCAACTCTCCCGCTGGGCAAAGGGAAACGGGTAAGCAGCTGGGCATGTGATTGAGTCAAAACAACTATATCTTATTCAATGTTGTTTCTCTTTGGAAGAAAAGGATTTCGATGCAGTTTTTAAATGTTTGTTATCAAGTTCCTCAACATGATAAGGAAAGGATTTTGTTGGGGAGTCCATCATAGTGTAGAAAATTATCCATATATAATATTTTTATTAAAAAACTTGATAGCATTTGATCATGAAACTTTATGCATACAGTTATGGTTCTACTTCCATTTCTAAGTCTGCATCTATGGATATGTTGGTCTATTCAGGTACTTGTCAGAGAAGAAGGAAGAAGCTGCATCCAAGTAAACTGATGCTGATTTTGTTGTTATATGCTCATGTTAATAAAATACTCTGCCCATGGGAGTCATGTAAAGCATTTTGCTTTTGATCATTCAAATGCAAGAATGATTTGATTGTGTTATTTTCCGATCGAGTGTATTTTCTATTCAAGTGATTATTCAAAATTCAAAATTCTCAGTAATAAGCTGTGAAATGACTTTGATTACAGATTTTGAAGAATTTGAGTTTTGTTTAACTCACCTAACAATGTCATTTTTTTCCCACAATCTGTAACAAGAATCACTCTTTCAGAAAACCATGTGTCAATAAATCGCAAATTGTGTCGATTGGGTTCTTCATTGCTATCTAATGATTTGTTGCTAAAGCGGGTTTAAATTGTCATTTTTCAGATAAAAAATGATTTATTGGCAATCTTTGAACGTCTAAAAATTATTGGAGATCTGAATGTTAACATATTTGATGTCATTCGTCATCTCAGAAGTTAGGAACTCTGCAAAACTTGATCCATTTAAATCACTATGGATGATATTGTTTAAATTCCCTCGTTTAATGAATGAATCCATAGGGATAATTTAGCCATTTAGGAACTGGAATTTACATGTGCAGATATATTTTTATTCAATCAAATTAGAACAAACGAACTTTACTTTTCTCTTAAAAAGTTAAATCGGGCAAGCAAAATATTTTTGGAAAAAACTTAAATATACATATTTCATGTGCTATTTTCAAATCAAGTTAGAAAATATGTATTTTTTTTTTCATTCTTAATTTGTTAACATTTAGTTGTTTTATTAAAAACAAGGGGTTTATAATAAATCAAATGTAATCATAGAGATCTATAAACCCGGTTTCATTAGTTAGAGACTAATCTGCCGGAGTGGGTTTTGTCTCTCCCAACAAAGTTTTTTCCATGCACGCACAAGGTCTGGTTCGATCCCATAATATCATGTTTAAGGGATCCAATCATTTACTAACTGTGTGTCAGGTTTTGTTGGTGGCACATTACATGAATAAAAGAAGAAAAATCTTGTGTCCTGGAGTAGTGTGGTTGAGAAGGAATATTGGAGAATTTCTGGGCCTAGACTTGAAACAAGGAAAGTCGCAATCTTTCTGAACATTCACATATACAAATATGAGACCCAAAAACTACGATGGCCCACCCAACCAAGATATTTTTGGCCATTTATTTTTTCTTTCCCCGTACATGTTCGTTATTAGTAGTTAAATACTTAAATTCGAAGCTCGCTCGCAAGATTTGGTTTTGCTGTCTCCCCAGGACGCCACTCCTTTCTCTCATGCTTAAGAATGGCGTCCAGTCTTTCCCATAACTTCCTCTCTTTGCAAACTCTGCAAGCACACACGTTATCGAAATCTCAAACACTAACCAAAACTCGTTGCTTTGCTCGCCTACGAATAGTATCCAAATCTTCTCCTCAGAAAAACAGTTCAACTTCGCTGGAAGCAAGCTCCCCCAAACCCCCTCCACCTCAGGATTCTTCATCTTCGGTTCAGTCCTCTTCTCTTCTGCTTCGTCGTTTCAGGTACTGTGTATGAAGTTAGGTGTACTTCCTTAATCGGAGCTTGTATTTTAGCTGGAATTTGGTTAAGATCATGGTACATAATGAAATTGGAAATTTTCATTTTGATATGGTTTTTGTAATTGGTGTTTTGAACAGAAATGGATGGCTTAAATTTGATGACCTCGGGATGGATATATTGTCTATTGCACTACCTGCTGTGTTGGCTTTGGCGGCTGACCCAATTGCCTCTTTGGTTGACACGGCATTCGTTGGCCATATAGGTAATTCTATGGAAGTGAGTTTACCCCAAAAAACGATAGACTTGAAAATAATGCGTCCTTAATCATTCCAACTACTTGAGTTAGCGTGGTGGCCTGGTGGGAATGGTTAATAATAATCGTCCCATTGGTCAATAACCATGCTGATGATCCTCATTGCAACAAATGGATTTTTTCATGTTTTCTTCTGACTTATAGTCAGTATAGTTACCAAGAGGCCTCTCCATGCAGGATCGGTTGAATTGGCAGCAGTTGGAGTTGCAACATCTGTGTTTAATCTAGCGTCAAAAGTGTTCAATGTTCCTTTGCTTAATATCACCACGTCCTTTGTTGCTGAGGAGCAGGCACTGATTGCCAAAGGAGAAGACTCCGGACGAAGCAACGATAATGGTAGTTTATTCAAGAGTGCTACCAACTTTAGTATCATTTATGTTCTTGGCAAGCAAATGGTTTTTATATGGCTTATTCATGTGTTTGTGTGTACTGATGCGTTTTGATATCCATCTGTCTAAAATGAAGGCTCACTGGGTAAGCACCACAGCAAGGTGATACTTCCTTCAGTGTCAACTTCTTTAATACTGGCTGCAAGCCTTGGAATTGCTGAAGCTGTGGCCCTTTACTTTGGCTCTGGCATCCTTGTGAATATCATGGGTATACCTGCTGTATGTCATCCCTTGCTGACTAGTGATTTACACATCATTTTGTTTTTATATTTCTTCATATTATGATACTTCTGAGTTATGTAAATGGCTAAAGAAGACCACCTCCCAAGATCAAGGGGGTGAAAGAAAAGGTGGTTGGCTGTGGAAATGGGAAAGAAGATGATTTAAGCTAAACATTTGAATTTATATTTAGGAACATTATTATGCCAATGCTTATCTAATATATGGTCTAAACAACTATTTGTGTGCAGATATGATTATCGTGAAAGTCTGTCATAATGTAAAGCACTAATTTCAGTTTTATTTTATGTGTTGTAGGATTCACCAATGCATGCACCTGCTGAACAGTTTCTTGCCTTCAGGGCTTTTGGTGCTCCGCCTGTTGTGATTGCACTAGCTGCACAAGGCACTTTTCGTGGGTTTTTGGATACGAAGACGCCTCTATATGCGATTGGCAAGTATTGAAGCAACTTATCTGTGTGTTTTCTATTTTCACCCATTCATGTCATCATGCTAGTTAAGTTTTCGATCCCCCTCCCCCCCCCCCCCCAAAAAAAAAAGGGGGTTGGGGGTCTTTTTGCAATAATAACCCTTTTTAGTTATCAAAATTGCAATATAGAATGACACAGAGCTTAGAAGTATTTCAATGAGAAATTGAACATGCGTCTCAACGTCAAGGATATAAATGGAAAATAGGAGAAAAGAGATTTGACTAACGAGCAAGCATCCATTAGAAGAAATTAACCCAAGAATGGAGGATTATGTATTAGAGGTCCTAGACTTGTATTATCTAGAACCTGAATTTTCCATTTCTTTGTTACGTATACTATTGTCATATACTATCATCATATCGTGCATAGCTGCATAGTATTTAATGTTTTGAAAACAGGACCATTTGAACTTAAAAAACCTTTCTTTCCAGGTTTATGCCCTGTTGAATTGATAGACTTTGGAATCGAACATAAGCTCAATACCTTGTTATTACGGGGGGGAAAAAGGATTACGCATATAACAGCTAAGGATTCTCCTAGTACCTTTTTGAGTAGAAAAAGAGAAATCTTAAATAAAATATAATATCATATTGCATTTCCTGAAGATCTGTTTAATTAAGAACACTGTGAACTTTATGACTGTACCTTCGCAATATAAATCTGGTCTCTCCAATTATCTAACTAATTAGTAACAAGTTTCTGGTACTTCAACTTTTGATAAGTGCATTCGATAAGCATATGTAAAATACAAATTAGGGTACTGGGTAGATTATTTGCTGAGTGTATATTGATTATTGAATGACAAATTCTTCCTTTTGGATACCAGGTGCTGGCAACTTACTTAACGCCATTTTGGATATGATGCTGATTTTTACTTTTGGTTTTGGCATTAGTGGTGCTGCTATTGCAACTGTGACTTCTGAGTACGTCTAAAATGTGGTAAACTTTAGAATTATCAGTGCATTAAGCACGTGTTGTCTTCATTTATGCACTTTCCCCTTTTAATCAAATCTATCTTTTTTTGTTCACCAGATATTTAATTGCTTTTATTCTTTTATGGAAATTGAGTGACAAAGTACTGCTTATTCCTTCTGACTTCGATGGGAGAAAATTTTTCAGCTACCTGAAATCTGGTATTTCACTTTCTAAATTATGCTGCCTTGTTGCTTTGACTGTCCTTATCTATCAAGTACTGTCTTTTCCTTTGGTAATGACATTAGGATTTTCGACCTAGATCACTGATAGAGGACAGCTATCAAACATAATATTTATTGGATACTTACTGGTTTTCAAAGTCCGATTCATTGAATTTGTTTTTGAGACAAACACAACCTTCCTTAGTGAATGCTTGTATAGAACAGGACTTAACTACTGCATAGTTTGAATTAAATGCATCTTAAAGCTGCAATATCTTTTGTGGTTTTGCAAGTTCTCTACTTTCGGCTTGAAACCATATTATAGGAACAGAATAAAAGTTTGTTGAGTTTTGAGATTTCCCCATCGTTGGCTTCTATGACCTTATGGATGATATTATCTGCGCAAACTAATGTAAATTTTGCGCCTAACATGTCATACAAACTGCCTAAACTGTGTTCTTATGTTCTCTTTTAAGTTATGACAACCTTACATGTTGAATTTTTCAGCTGGTCTTCTCATTGGTAGGACGTTGGCTGTGGTTATGACTCTGACACTGGCGACATCCATGGCAGCCAGACAGGGTCCGGTACCTATGGCTGGTCATCAAATTTGCATGCAAGTATGGTTGTCAATGTCTTTGCTAACGGATGCTCTGGCACTTGCTGGTCAGGTAAAATAATTTCACATTAGATGGTAAAGCACATGTTTTTACAAAAATGATGACATTGCATCTTATCATTTGATTAAAACATAACTCATTAGTAGGTTACATATGTGATTTCTTGATACGTTCATGAATTTAGAATCACATAATTGTCTGTTTTATGAAATGTATTAAAAGAATGTTCTCTTTTCCTCTTCTTCTTCTTTCTTCTTTCATTTGCGGTGGTGGGGTGGGTAAAGGGCAGTTGTTGCTACAGAGATGAAATAACAGTCACTGCTACACCAAAGACCTTTGGTTCTTGTTCTATAGCCCTCTTCTCATTCTTTCCTTCCTTCTGTTCATCCATTGTAGTCGTCATCCTGTGGCTAAGGGTAAAAGCAAACATATTTCAGATGCATGATATGGTAGCTCTTGTGTAACCGATCAGCACTGTTGTTGAACTCAACAAGAGCTTGTTTATAATGTTTGGCTGTTTATATATACTTGTGGTGGAAACCAAGTCTGGTGATTGTAGCTGAAGACCATTGTGTTCTGTTGTATGATTTTTCCTTCACAGGCTCTGCTTGCTGGGGATTACTCCCAAGGGAATTATGAGCAGGCTCGCCTTATTGTATATAGAGTTTTACAGGTTAATGATCTTGGTCACCATAAAGTTCTTTCCTTATAATGTCCGTCATGCCCCTCTAAAAGGAGATGGGAACAATTATTAACCTTCTATTCTTTTCCCCTTGGTTTGTGCATTTAACGAGCAGATTGGTTTAGGGACAGGAATTGCATTATCAATGATCTTATTCCCAGGGTTTGGAACATTTTCCAGCTTATTCAGCACAGACTCAGAGGTTCTGGATGTTGCTCAGTCTGGTTTATTGGTGAGAAATCATAATTATTTGAAAAATAAATACCTTAACTCCATTTGAAATATTTACTTCACATCCTTGTTAACACACACTGGTCTTTATTCTATACTGTTCATGCACTTGCATGGGAATAGAGTTTTTCTTAAAGAATAAAATTCATACAGAATTCAAGAAAAGAAAATTAGCTATCTGTGTTATGAAAGAACCTCATTCGACCAAGTATTAGAGTTGTTTCCTTTGACCTTTTCGAATAGGTAGAAATTAATGGGACTTGGTAATGACTAATGTGCATTATGTGTGGCGAGATATTCTGTGTCTTTGTGGATGCATGCTTATATAATTATGTCGTTGAAGGATTTCATACTTACTCATTTTCAGTTTGTTGCGGGATCTCAACCAGTGAATGCTTTGGCATTTGTTATTGATGGGCTTTACTATGGGGTGTCAGACTTTGAATATGCTTCTTACTCTATGGTAATTCCCTAGCCCAATAATTAAAGAGATTTCAACATTTCATTGGTGCTAATCCTACAACTCCTTTCTTATTATCAATTTTCATTATTTTCTTAACCCTCATTTTGGATTCCGATGGCTAGTTGCTCGTAGGAGTAATTTCATCAGTGTTCATGCTGGTGGCTGCTCCAGTAATTGGACTCCCTGGAGTCTGGACGGGGCTGTTTCTCTTTATGACATTGCGTGTTCTTGCTGGAGCCGGGAGGTATAGTCTTCGATACTGTGAGAGAATATATATAATTTATAATGCTCGTACTCAAAATACTATCCACTGACCAAAAGATCCATCCTCCTTGGTCCATTGGAAATTTCTAACACTCCCCCCCCCCCTCAAAAAAAAAAAAGCTACTGTTTTCCCTTTCCTGCCCATTATCTAGTAGATGAGTTATATTTTCTTGACAAGATTCTCATTGCATTGCTGTATGTTAATCTTCAAAATCTCATATGAACATTTGAATTTAAGGTTGGGCAGCAAGAGTGGGCCATGGAATTTGGTATGGCACAAGGATGGAGCAGGGGACTGACTGATAGGAATCTGGAGTTTTTCTGGTTTGGTGAGAAAGGCCCTTTTCATGGTGGTCACAGATGCTCATACATGTAACACTTTTTAGGGTTCTGAAACTTCTCTATGCACCCTTTCCTGGTTATCAGATCCCCAGCAACATGCCTTAGGCTCATAGCAAATCAACAGAATACTGTTCTACACGTGAAAACCGTGGGTCATGACTTTTCTTGTTCAAGTACAGAAAGGAAGAATGCCAAGCGATGCAGATGGTTCCAAAATATAGCCAAGCAAATTCCCTCTGCTTTTTGGTTCAGAGGTTTCCGCTTCTGTATACCTTTTTAAAGTAATAGCCGCGCAGGAGTTAGGTAATTAGACTTGTCTGGATCAACTATTTTATGTTGAGAACATAGAACACTGAACAGTGATCCTTCATTGCTGTGAAAGGGATTGCCAAATTCAGTGGAATTCTTTATGAGTATTTTTTTTTTTAATGCATTAATGGTGTCTGTGGGAAAGAGAGAAGGAGCTGACAATAAAATACATGAAAACTGATGAATGCGTAATTTGGACTGTTCATATCAGAATCTAAGGTGAAAGTTCAATTTGTGGGAAATAAATGAATTTATTATTTAAAAAGTTACAAATTAAAAACATCAAATCTGGGATGTTAGATTGTCTAGATTTTACCACAATAATGAGGATCAAAATCCAACTAATACTAACTAGAAAAGCCATTTCAACCACTAAAAGTCCAACAGAAACGTGTGTTGTGTATTGAACAGCAATCGGTTGTTCTTTTCCTAACAGGTTTTGATGGCACTGAGCCCACCGGAGATCAGATTGCCAGCTTGTGGTCTGAAAGACAGGGCATTCCTTTCCTTCTCCGAAACAAACAAAGAAAAGCAACGAAAAATGACAATCGCATAATCACAAATTTCAGTTTTGAATGAAAAAGACTCCCATCCAATCATTAACTAAAACCACACTCAAATAATCTAGATTCTCTCTGTATTAATTTTATAGCTTACCATTGAGATACCATGGTCAGATTCAAAATTTGTCGAGCTCAGTTAAAAGTTAATGAGTAGTTTTCGAAAAGCGTTTTCTGCATTCACAAAGGTTAAAACGCCTTTCATTTAGGATCAGTTGGTTAAAATTGTGAAATTCATTATTCAATTAATATGTGCATGAAGCATAACATTTTCAAGATTGAGAGAAGAGTTAAACGAAGCAACAAATGAAGTCGGGGAGAATTGGAATAAGAATGATTGGTGAGGTTCCTCTGTTTTCAAGGAACATGCCGATTTTGACCCCTTTCTTGTGGGCCCCACAGATCTGGACGCACCTCTCTCTGTGTCTGTCCACTAACAACTCAAGCGTTTTCCAGTTCATGCTTTTAACCAATCCCCACCCTCCCTCCATTTAATATTTCTCAGCTTTGGTCCTAATTCACCTACTTTTATTCATTTTAATTTTTGTTAAAGTCACCATTAAAAATGATATTTATTCTGCATTTTACTCCTTCCGAAATAGAAAGACATAATACTTTTTTAAAAAGAATGAAATCTAAATGATTCATATGGAAAATCCTTCTTTTGGCCACCAGATTCGTATAAAAAAATCTTAAAAATTGAAGAGAGAGCGAGGGCCAGAGAGTATATAATTCCTAAAGAGAGAATCCAAATGAATCGCTTTATTACTTAATCATTTATGATTATGATTTTTACATATACCAACAGCGGCTTATATTATTTCCGTGGGCGCTTTATTTTTTTTACTCCTTTCAGTCATAAATCGGGCGCTTTGCTTCTTTTTTTTTTTTTAAAAATAAGAATCCATTCACTTTGTAAATGTTTTTTCAATACTTTCTCCAACTTTAAATAAATAAATAAATAAGCTACTTAATTAATTTGAGTAAATTAAAAAAATAAAATAAATTAATTGATTTAATAAATATAATTTGATATCTTTAAAATATTTGTGTGTAACATTATATTATATACTCAAGTAGATGAGTTAAGCAAATTAATTTTTTTAAAAAATAAATATATAATAAAATAGAATGAAATCTGGTATCTATGACTAAATCTGTCAAACACGAAATATGTGAGGGTACTGGCCAAAAAAAAAAAAGGTCCCGGAGGCGGAGGCCGGAGGGAATACCAAAACACATTTATTTAATGGTGAATTTGTTTTCGGCCATGTTAGAGATACTCACGGGTGTTTATGTCATGTGAGATTGTGATTTGTGAGTGGAAAGAAGGAAAAGCCCAAGAGTCACAAGGCCGCACATGGGCCTGACCCGAGGCCTTAATTAATGGGATGGAATAGTCAAAGCATTGATTAATCTAACCTATATAACTCTTAATCTCTCTCTCTCTCACGCATCACCACATCATTCACGAGTCCTCACAGCCAGCTTCATCATCTCACTCCTTCCTTCCTGTCTCATTCCTCTCTCCGCCTCTGTTTCTCACCCGACAACCCCCTTCTCTTCTTCTTCTTCCTCCCTCTACCATGGCTGAAAAGGTAATACCTTCTTCTATTATCCTTCTTCTTCTGGTTTTCTGTTTAGTTTCTGAATTCCATCACTCTCACTCTTCAGGTCGCTCTCATGAGGCTCAAGGTTGACCTTCAGTGCTCCAAGTGCTGCAAGAAGGTCAAGAAGGTCCCTCGTCAGTATCCTTCTCCCCTCTCTCATTTCTCTCTTCTCTCTGTTTCCCCACTCTAATTCTTTTCCTTTTCTTCTTCTTCTGCGTTTTGCCAGAAGTTCGATCCCAGGTGTTTGACGAGAAGCAGAACATGGTGAACATCACTGTGGTGTGCTGTGACCCGGAGAAAATCCGAGACAAACTCTGCTGCAAGGGAGGCGGTGCTATTAAGAGCATTGAAATCGTCGAACCACCTAAGAAGCCTGACGAGAAGAAGAAAGACGGCGACAAGCCTAAGTCCGATGGCGACAAGCCCAAGGGCGGCGGCGGAGAAGGTGAGAAAAAGAAAGACGCCGGTCCTAAGAAGGATGGTGGAGACAAACCCAAGGACAAGGGCGGCGACAAACCTGCCGACAAGCCCAAGGACAACAAGCCCGCCGATTCCAAGCCGACGCCTGCAGGCCCGGTCGCGATGCAGGTTCAACCACCACCGCCGGTGGCGATTCCGGCCGGGATGGTTGTTGCGCCGTACTATGAAGGGTATCCTTCTGGGCCATACCACCATGGGTACGTCCAGCCTGTGCCTGCCATCGTTTACGACGGATATTATGGGAGGCCCGTTTACGACAGCTACGGCGTCGGAGGAAGGCCGGTCTACGTCAGCCGCTGCGATCAATACCTCAGCGAAGAAAACCCACAGGGCTGTTCAATCATGTAAATGCTGCTCAAATTCAACTTTCTTTTTTCCTTCATGAATAGTGTTTCGTGTGAAACGGGGGAAATAAACGGTGGGCCGACCATAACGAAGAGATTATAAGTATTATTATTGTTATTATCATTATTTATAGGTTTTTGGTACATGTTTCAGATCTGATTCATTCAAGTTAATAAATTTTCGCCTTCTTAAAATCGATATAATATTTAAGAAAAATTGCTGAACAATCTTATATTGTCAAGTTTATTACCCAAATAGCTAAAGTTCACAAATGAAGCGTAAAACCCATTATAAATTTAGGCAATGATAAATTATGAAGATGATAATTTTACCTCAAATGTCAACAGCCTAGCGGAAAAGAAGGGGAGTATTGAAATGAAACAATAGGTAAGGGAGGTGGGGAGTGAGTGGCAAGGCGTGTTTGGCTGCCATAGATTAGTGAATGACATCACGAATTGACAGGCACGGAGGATATAAACATCCTCTTGTAGCTTTCAACCCTTCGCTTTATCGCTTTTTCAACAAATTAATGAGAGATTTTAAGCAACGTTGAAATTAAGGATCTACTTGGTGATTGTTAATTCTCCCTTGAAGGATAAACATGAAGCCACTAATCGATTTTGTGAAATCATTAGTGAAGCAATTTGTCGACACTAATTAAACAGCCTCTTGAAATACAAATGTTAAGGAAGTCTAGAAGAAGAAGAAGGTGGAGCAGGTGGAAGTTAAATGATATAAAAACTATCCGACTAATTTGAATAGATGAATAGTAATTTAAGGTATGTGTTTGTAATAAATATGAGTTGATTTTTCTAAAATGTCTTTTTAATTATAACTACTATTTGATGAAAAACCTTTTAACATGTATAGTCAATACAATACTTTTAGAGAATAGATTATATATATAAAAGATAAAACAGATTAAGATTTTATATTTAGAATTAAATCTAAACCTTAACTGACTTTTATATTAGGGATTAGAAATAGTACTCACTTTCTCCGCTGTTTTATATGCAAGGACTGATTTTTTTAATAGTAATTTGCCTCTATAAGAAAAATTACAAAATTTTTATTGAATTTACTAATGAGTGTTAATATGAATTAAAGTATTAATATTTTTTGTGTAAGAAATGTTATCATTTTTTTAAATGGATATTTTCACCAAGTTTATCTAAAAATGACTAGGAGTATGGCTGAAGCCTGAAGGAATGAAAATGACTTAAAATATGAATTAATTTAATTGATAAGTATATAAAAGATGAAGTAATTTTGTTGCATAAATAATTAAAAAAAAAGGATGAAATAGTGAATTAACAGAAGGTTTCTTAGGGCGAAAGTGAAAGGGACAAGAAGGAAGGACACTGTCCCTGTCTGCAACATTATCTGCTTTCACCAAACTCATGATATGAGATCATTTTAATTTGTTGAGTTCTGTTATTTATTTTCACACTCACTTCAATGCCATACCTGACTTCAATGTTTCTTTTATTTTCTGTTCTGTCTATTTACTTTTTTCAAATGTTGCTCACCGACAACTATTATATTTGCCACCAAAAAATCAATCACCCAATTATTGTCATGTTGTCGTTTATTTATTAAGGAGCTTAGGAAATAACATAAAAATATACCCATGTTAAAATTTAATTAAATGTAGGAAATCTTATATTTGGAATGAAAACAGTATTTAAATAGAAAATATCTATAGACTTAATTTAGGCTTAAATGTTAACCCAAAAAATATCAACAGATCTCGTTATCTGCAGCTCTTCTTCACACGGTAACAAATTACGAAGAGATTTATTCTCGTATCTAATTAGATGGACCTCATATACGTATTGCCGGCATATTTGAAAATTTGGATAATATTATTACGAATTTTATATTTATATTAAAATTAATTTATTTTTTATTTTAATAAAAAATATAAATGAAATTATGAAAAAAGAAAAGGAGATAGGACAGGGGGCTTCGTTGGCAAGCAAGAGATTAAGTCGAAACAAGGAATAATTTATTGGACATACGCAATAATATGATCTATCAATAATGTGACCAGAGAACAGACAAATTAAAAACAAACCTTGTTTTATGTTTTTAATTTGAAATATATATTATTTTCAGTGCTTAATATA